GGAAGTCAACTATTTTCCTCATAGAGCCCTCTGTGACCAGCACTAAATTCAAGAGCTTTGGAACAAATCACCCTTCTCGACGTGGTGCGTGTGAAGTCACAGGGGCAGGGCCCAACGGGGTTGTGAATTCACTTCAAGACAGTCAATTAAGGATAGATAGTTGTTTTTATTAATCTCACTACGTCTCTACTATTACAGGCTTAATACTGCCAGATGGTTACACAGCTACTGCAAACATACAATTAAGCATAGGCAAAGCAATGCATAAAAGAGTAACAGGCACCTGGAAATGCTTATGCCCTTTCAGGTCTGCGGGAAATCCCGTTCCGCTCCCAGTCTGCAGTGGATGTGGCTCCAGCTGGGGGAATCCAGGGCACCCTCCAAGGTCTAGGTTCCTGATGAGACTCACCAGGCACAGGACTCCCTACACTAGTTATGCTACAGTTGTTTACCGGGTGTGCACGTACCTGGCTCAATGCCATTCTTATCGCTCTTATGAGCTGAGACCGAGGTCAAACTTGTTTACTGCTTAGTAGTTTCCCAGCTCGAGGCATGGATTAAAGCTGATAAAGCCCAGCTGCTGTTTGGGCTTGCAGCGTCCTACACTATGCTAAACTGGGTACAGCAGAGATGGAAACTTCCATCCTAGGCCTGCTAAGCTGCAAGACCCACATATGACTTTTATGTGACAGTGCATCTCAGAAGAAAAAAAGTCATGAATATAGCTTTTAGTCACCTATCCCCCTCTCCAGTCCTTAGGTCAGTGTCAAGCTGCAACCTTGGTCTACTCTAATAAACACCAAAGGACCATGACAGCAGCTGAAGAATCAGGAATGCAGAGGCTCACCAATCACAGTCCCTTTCCCTAGCAATGAGCCCTATGTCAGGATCAAGAAGGGGAAATGGCAGAGAAGTTGCTGTTTTAAGATAGCAGAGGTGAAAAGTGGCTGAAGCAAGAGCCCAGTTCTGGATCTCTAGGTAGAATGTAGCAGAAATGAAACTTTGGGTGAATCCTGCTAATTTCCTTCCCGTTGTCTTCAGCAGTAACACAATGAGGCTCGCCACCCTCAACCGAACTGCTCCCATAAATGAATGGAGAAGAGTTTGGTCCTTTCATTCGTTTTAAAAAATCGAGTCCATGAAACACAGAAGAAACAGCCCTGGAGAGAGAGCCAGGGCCAAAATAGCTGTAGGCGACCTCAGTCCCTCATTCTGTCCTTCTCTAAATGGGTGCAACTCTGTTTAAATGAAGTGGGCCAAAAATGGCCTTTGGTGTCTAACAAGTGGCATTCTTTTAGGCTCTCATGCAGCATGCCTGGTATGATGCATTTTAAGTGATGAAGTAGCATTTCACGCCACTTTACTCAAAAGCAAGGGTTCAACCTTTTTCTTTCTGAGTCCCCCACTCCATCATGCTGTGAAATCTCCCTGGTCCACTTGTGCCACAACAACATTTTCTGCCTATCAAAGCCAGAGCCGGCATTAGAAGGTAGCAAGCAGGGAATTGCCCAAGGCCTTATGGCCCCGGGGGTCTCACGAAGCTACGTTGCTCAGGTTTTGGCTTCAGCCCCAGATGGTGGGGCTCAGGTCCCTAGGCTTTAGCCCCATGTGCTCCAGCTTCTGCTTTCTGCCTGGGGTCCCAGAGAGTCTAAGCCAGCATAGATGCTGACTCCAGGGGTGCTCTGAGGCTGGAGCACCTATCGGAAAAAATTAGCAGGTGCTGAACACCCACCAGCAGCCACGGTTACCCCTCCCCCAGTGCCTTTCACCCACCAACATCCCCACTGACCAACTCCTCTCCCTTCCTTCCCCCCAGCATCACCCCCCTGGCTGCAAACAGCTCTTTTATTGCATTCAGAGCACGCAGAAGGGAGGAGACAGGGCTGGGATAGGACATGCCTGGGGGAGGAAGTGGGGAAGAGGCAAGGCTGAGGCAGAGACCTGGCGGAAGGGGGGGGGAATGGAGAGGAGACGGGGCAGAGCAGGGACAGGAAGAGCTGGGGCAGAGACTTGGGAGAAGGGGTAAAGTGGAGGCAGTGCCTGGGTCAGAGTGGGAGGCTGAGCACCCCCCAGCTAGAGAGGAAGTCAGTGCCTATGAATCTTGGATCCCCTGAAACCTGCTTGCAGCCCCCCAGGAGCACCGGATCCCTGGTTGAGAACCACTACCAAAAGCACTGAATAATGTTACTTCCCCATCCAATCCCACAAGAACATTTTTATTGTGGTGAAAAGTTATCCAAGTAGGTGAAGCAGCAATATTTGTGAGAAGGGGAGGAAAGAAAATCTGTTGCTAAATTCTAATATCACTTTTAGCTACTTTGGGGGCACATCCTCAGCTGATGTAAATCATCAGAGCTCCACTGGAGTCAATGGGTAGGAAAAGCTATATCTCCTCTCTCTGTTTATAGAAGTGCTTTTATAGTCACAGTAAAATGTGAACACTCAGAGCCATAGTCCTTTAACAGACTGCAAAACGTCAGAGAAATGCTGCTTACTTAGTAAAGTCTATGAATGTTGGATCAAGCAATAGCATGGGAAATACTGGAGCAAGATTATATCCATTATATATAAAAACTCTGTTTCTATCTATTGATTTACTAACTCTGAGTTCTGCTGGAAGCTTCACAAATGTGCTTGCCTTCCCTGAGCCTTGAATCTTTCATTTGTTTCTCACAGTTGAAAGCTATGTAAACACTCGTGATGTGGTCAGATAGATGGATCTTAAACACTTGGGAGTACAAATTATTCCAGCAACATGACTCATTAAAGCATATTATTCAATGTACCTCTGGATCTGCCGCTCATAGAACAGTAGTTAGCTCTTATGTTCCCCTTTCCCTTCATAAATCTCAAGACATTTTACAAAGGAAGGTATCATTAGCCTTGCTTTACAAATGGGGAAGCTAATGCACAGAGTACTGATGTGACTCACCCAAGGTCTGAGTCAGGCCTACAGGCTACAGCCCTGGATAGAAACCACATCCCCTGTCCTGTGCCTGATCCCCCGGACTACGAAGCTTCAGTGGCTCATCAGCTGGTCTAAGCTGTGCTAGGACCAGGGTTGGCCTTTTCTCTCTGCAAGCCAGGTCTTCTGGGCACCACCTGCTGTTCTAGCACAGGTGAGAATAAACTTGATTTTCTTTAGTGCAATACAAATGTCATGTTCCGTAAGACTTGAGATGAAAGCAGGGCCGGTGGGAAATGTAGGCAAGGGCAGGCATTGCCTTCCCAAAAAGACTGGGGTGGTCCTGCCCACATTCCAGGTGGCTAAGCCCGAGGCATGGCTGCCTCTATGACCAGCGCTCCGGCTGGCTGGTAAGGCTGGGGCTGCCTTGCTGCTCCCAGGGCCGGGGTTAGAGCTGTGGGGCCACCCAGCTGCTCTAAGGCCTGGAGCAGGGCCAGGGCACAGGGCTGCCCAGCTGGTGGATCAGGGCCAGGGAGAGACTGGTTCTGCATGACTGCTCCTGGAACAGGGAGGAGGCATTAGCCTTTGGCAAGGGCCAGCAGCCATTCTGGGAGGGGCTGGGAGCACAGGGCAGGGGCCAGCAGCCAGGTGGGCATTGAAGGGGCATTGGGCAGAAAGGGCAGGGCTGAGGCTTGCCTCCACAAGCCAGCTGTTCACCAACGCCCCATAGATGAAAGGCACAGGGGATATGCAACGATCGCAAAGCACTTCACGAAGGTCAGTTAGTAAAGCCACCCAGCACACATTACTGTGAGGAATATGCTGCTCTGCTCATTTTTAAGGTCATCAGTTTTTACCTCTGTGTTTCAAATCACGCAGCAAGTCAGTACGTGCATGGAGCTAGGAAAAGGACAGAGGTGTCTGGGAGCCAAGTTCACAGTTTTAACCTACCTGTACGAGGAAATAGTAATAGAGGGGTAGCCGGATTAGGCTGATCTTGCTAAAACAAAAGGAAAAACTATGTAGCACTTTAAAGACTAACAAGATGGTTTAATCAGTGATGATCTTTCATGGGCCAGACACACTTCCTCAGATCATATTTTGGAAAAGAATTGGCATATTCCTTTGGTATATATGGTCATGCCAATTCTCTTCCAGAATATGATCTGAGGAAGTGGGTCTGGCCCACGAAAGCTCATCACCTATTACACCATCTTGTTAATCTTTAAAGTGCTACATAGTTTTTCCTTTTGTTTGTACAAGGAAAGTTCATTAATCAGATGATGGTACCATATTACAGGTGCTCCTCTAATATTCTGTGTTCATGGCTGCATTGGTGAGCTTACCATTAAGTTCCCAGTTTGCATTGAAGGATGAAAATAAGTTTCACTGCATTAGTGCCACAAAGTAAAACAGAGTCTCAGATAGCCAAACTCTGCCTGAGAAGGAGAATTTTATCCTTTTTCCTCATTTAAAATGTACTTCCCAGAAGTACTAAGAAGCAAAGTTTGTTCCAAATCTGCTCTAAGTAACCAAGTATCAGTGGCATCACTGGCTCTTCTTAACTACTATGTAGTTCACACATAATTTAGATTAAAGTGAAAGGCTGCTGTCCTATCCTCCACTCTGGTGGCACATCAGGGCCCTGTCACAAAGTAGCTACATCCTGCTGCAGGGTGTTGGATTGTGGAGGTTTATCAAAATGACTGTTTGGTAGCCCTATAGTCTAGATCTAGGTCACAGCCCCGCAGGTCAGGGCAGTAATGCTCAATGGCGACAGACAGTAAGGCCTTCCTTCTATTCAGGACAGCATGGCCCATGGCCCAAGTCTGTGCAAGGGTCATGTGGCTCAGGATAGGGTGGTCCAATGGCCAGAATCTATGCAGCAGCCCTGCTGTCCAGGGCAGTCTGGTCTGTGGCTAGAGTCAGTATGGCCCTGCGGCCAGAGTCCTGCAGTTAAGGTTCTTCCTCTAGGTATCAGTGACTCCAGTGGTGGGGCAGCCAGGATAGGGGGACCCAGGCCCACCTTTCTCTACCAGGTCCTAGCCCAGGGCCCTAGGGAACTGGTGTTTCCATTCCCTGGGCCACTTCCTACCCTTACTTCCAGCGTTGGTAGTCTCACGGCTTCTGCTGTCTTTCCTCTGTCAGCACTGGCTGGGGGTCCGCTGGAGTCCAGCTGGCTTCTGCGTCCTGGAGCTCTGGAAGTCTCCCAGCAACTGCCTGCAACACACATCTGTTCTCATCAGCGGCCAGTCCCGGGCTGATGATTCTCCCTTTTATACTCTGGTCTCAGTTGGAACATGCTAGCAGAGGTGGTAGGTGTGGTTTCCTTGGCTACAGTGTGCAGTTAACTCCTGCTGGCCCGGCGCAGGATAGGTACTCCCCGCCACAGGGTGATAACCACGTGGGATAGTGAGAGGGCAGAACGGTTCTACGACCCAGACCATTCGGTTCTACGAGAAACCCGCTTTGCTGTGGATTGCAATACACCCAAAGATGGACCGGTAAGAGCGTGGCAGGCTAGGGCAGTGCTCTGGATGCTGCCAGGCCCAGTCAGTCAGCCCTGGGGATTTGATAGCTGGGCAGGATGGTACCTGCCACCTCAGACAGTGCTAGGGGATCCAGAGGCTTGGGCAGCTCAGTTCTCACAGCCCCTGCCAGCCCCAAGTTCCCCCAACATCCCCTGCACTAAACTAACCCCACTCCAGTCCCCTGCCGTGCCTCCCTCACACTCCAACCTCCTGCCCTGACTCCTGCACCTCCCGTGCCATATGTACCCCACACACCCACATCCCCTGCCCTGAGCTTCCCCCCACAACCACAACCTCAAACAACCCAACTTCCCTGCCCTGAGCCCCTCAAGGGGGGTTGAGATAGGACAGGACCTAAGTTACTTTCACCCCTGAATACAGCCCACAGGTAATGTCGGTAAGGCTACCATGAAACTGAGCAGCCCCAAAAGCTGCTCTAATTTATTCTGGGGGCCATATCTGCCCCCAGCCAGCCCTGCATCTAGGTAGCATAAAGGTGGTTTTGCCCATCTTCCCCCAGGCTGCCTCTTCTGTGTGACATTCCTTATGAAGCACAGCAAAGAATCTTTCTCCCCCAGAGTTTTTTTATAATCTGAAGTATTAGGCCCAGGGTAAGAACACAGATAATTTCTTCTCTCCGGAGACCAGGACTCTATGTACTGGATCATCTGGATAAATACCTGTAGAGGAGTTAATTTATCTATTTTCATTTTCCTTAGAAGAAACCTGTCAAACTTACATAATGAAAAGTAATTAAAGCATATGGGTCACATAATTCAGACCTTGAAGGGAACAACAGCACGTTTAGTACAGCTTGTTATGATAACGTACTATAGAAGTTCCTTTTTGTTCTTAGTTGAAAAGCATTATTAAATCAGTCATATGCTGAAATTTCCCAATGCTCAATCTCTCTCTGTGGTAAATCCTATACTATCACTCCATTTTCTCTTTTATGTTTGGGTTGGAGAGATTGGAGGTACAAGGCTCCTTAGGAACCTAAATGGCCAGCATGACTGCATAAAGACTCTTGGACACAATTTGTATGGGAGGCCTTGTCTGTCATACAAAAACTGGAGAGAACTGGTTTTAAAGCAAGATCTGGTACAAGATATTCTTTTTCTGGTGTTTTGCGTGAGCTATGTGATACATCTGACAGATGAGGTCATGAGTGCAAGGCCAGAAATGTGTCAGCTTTCAGAAAGCGGGGTTTTTAGGGAAGCAGAGACAAACCAGGAAAAAGAATCCTTGACCATTAGAACTCTCACTGTATCTTGAATGCATGAAAAAACATTTGATCTTTTAATTTATTTTATCTAAACACACATTCATGCTGAGAACTGGAATTCAATGGGCATAAACTGATCACCACCTTGTGTGAGGAAGAACCATTTGTCTACACTTCCCTCTGGCTACGTCTAGACTGGAAGCCTCTTTCGAAAGAGGCTTTCGAAAAAGTGTGTCTAGACTACAACCAAAAGACAGAACTATGTAGCTCTTTAAAGACTAACAAGATGGTTTATTAGGTGAAGAGCTTTCGTGGGCCAGACCCACTTCCTCAGATCAATATGTGGAAGAAAATCGGCACAAACATATATACCAAAGTGATACAATCAAAAAAAAATGAATGCATGTGAAATTGACAAATCAAATTTTAGAACACAGTGGGAGTGAGGGGGGAAGGTTAGTGTCTGTGAGGTAATGACATAGGGGTGATAATAGGGGAAGTTTCAGTGAGGTAATGACATTAGGGGTGATAATTGGGGAAGCTATCTTTGTAATGGGTGAGATAATTAGAGTCTTTGTTTAAACCCATATATAAAATGTCAAATTTAAGCATGAATGACAATTCTGAAGCTTCTCGTTGAAGTCTGGAGTTAAAGTCTCTTTGAAGCAATATGCATGTTTTAAGGTCATTGAGGGAATGATCTGTCTGGCTGAAATGGCAAGCAACAGCTTTCTCTCTGTGAGAGAGTCTTATGTTTTTTTTGTGTGCATTGGTTCTTTGGCGAAGTGTCTGAGACGTTTGTCCAATGTACATAGCAGACAAACATGCATATTGCTTCAAAGGGACTTTAACTCCAGACTTCAACAAGAAGCTTCAGAATTGTCATTCATGCTTAAAATTGACACTGTATGTATGGGTTTAAACAAAGACTCTAATTATCTCACCCATTACAATGATAGCTTCCCCAATTATCACCCCTGATGTCATTACTTCACGGAAACTTTCCCTATTATCACCCCTATGTCATTACCTCATAGACACTAACCTTCCCCCCTCATCCCCACACTGTTCTAAAATTTGATTTGTCAATTTCACATGCGTTCATTTTTTTTTATTGTATCACTTTGGTATATATGTTTGTGCCGATTTTCTTCCACATATTGATCTAAGGAAGTGGGCCTGGCCCACGAAAGCTCTTCACCTAATAAACCATCTTGTTAGTCTTTAAAGAGCTACATAGTTCTGTCTTTTGTTTCAGCTAGACCAGACTAACACGGCTGCATCTCTATCACTAGACTACAACCAGTACTTACAAAAAAGTAATCTGCCTTTTCGAAAAAGAGCACTCAGGCAGTCTGGATGCTCTCTTTCAAAAAAGCAAGGTTTGCATTACATAGCACCTACTTTTGAAAGAGCACTTTCAAAAAAAGGCGTTCTTCCTTGTAAAACGAGGTTTTCCGTGGTTGAAAAAACTACCGCTTTCTTTCAATTTACTTTCAAAAGAATGCAGCAGCAGTCTATATGCAGGGGAAGTTTTTTCATAAAAAGGCCACTTTTTTTGAAGAAAACCTGTGGTCTAAACACACCCTTTGTGTGTCTCTGCAGCACTTGGCACAATGAGAATCTGATCTCATTTGGGACAGGGAATGCAGTTCACTGTGTATCTATGCAGAGCCCAGAAAAACAGTAACAAATGTATAGTACTTTAAGAATCGTGACCATTCATAGGCAATTGGAGAGCGGAGACCCCGTCATGCTCACCAGCATTGTTTCCTTGTGCTCTCCTGTCTGTAGTTACCTGCTGGCTCTTGTCTCATGCCTAGATTGTAAGATGTTTGGGGTAGAGACCTGGGGACCATTTTTCTGCTCTGCATTTGTACAGCACCTAGCACAATTAGGCCAGGACTGAGCCCTCCTAGTTCTACAGCAATACAAATAAGACATTTGAAAAAACTTAAAAAAACCAACAAATAGTCTGGTAGCACGTTAGAGACTAACAAAACATGTAGATGGTATCATGAGCTTTTGTGGGCACAACCCACTTCTTCAGATGACCATGAGATGGAGAAAAAAAACCCCCCCCCCCCCCCCCCCAGTAAAAAAGTTTGGCCAGGCTGCTCTTGCTATAGTGGGCTCCAGTACTCCTTGGAAGAAACCAGCCGCGCCCTTTCTGCATACCATTGACTTTAGAAAAAGGGAAGGTGTGAAAAGGGGAAAATAGTCTCAGACTCTCCCACCCATCACCTTGGCGTGAGAACTGTGGGGCTTACCTGGTCACATGAAACCTGCACAGTTTCGGCCCAACCCCTGGGACACAGACACCCCCAGGGGTGCTTTATTATTTTTGTATTTTTTACACCCAAAAATTTCAATCATCTACCCGGCTATGATTAGGATAGCCAGGTGTCCGGTTTTCGCCTGGACAATCCATTATTTCTGGCCCCCGTCCGGTAAAAAAAAAACAGAAACTACCGGACTTTTTTTTTTTATTTGTTCAACTAATTTTTTTTTCCTGCCATGTTCGGGATTTTTTGTGAAAGTATCTGGCAACTTTATCTATGATTAAGTTGTTTAAACATATGTGTTGCAATGGTAGAAACATTTTTTGTGTGTCTGAAGACAATAGGTACTGCGGGTACTTATAATTTTTTTTAAGGGGTACTTTATAAAAAAGGTTAAGAAACACTGATCTAAGCCATAGCCATGGGCTGTGGGTTTAAAAAGGCAAGAAGGGACAATGCCTCCCTTGGGTCTTAGTGTTCAACTTCTCCACCTCTTCCTATCCCTATTTGGACAGTTCCTGAAGACTCCCACAGCAGGCTGTTGCAGCTTGCAGACTAGTAATTCTTCCCCAGAAGTGGATGTTCACTTAAAAGTGAAAAGCCTTTCAGCTTGCTAGATCTATTAGCATAACACTGAACCTGTGAAGAGCCATTAGGTGGTAAGGAAACCATTTAACAGGCATGTACCTACCCTGAGTTTACTTACAAAAACAGTTGTGCATTGAAGTCCTATAGGCATAGTAGTTTAAAATTTGCTTTAAATATTTCATTAGTTTGTTGCTGAATCACATCTCTAAAAAAATCCATGTATGAATATTTAGAAGCACAATCTGAGTATTCAGCTTTAGCCTTTAATGCTTAGATCTTTAGGCAGAGTTTTAAAATAAAGTCTTCAAAACACCACCTTTATCTAAAATACGATTTTAATTTTAATGATTAGTATAGTACAAAAACTGCTTCCAAAGTGTTCCTGTCCTTTCTATCATCCCTGCTCTCCTTTCACACACACTCCTTGAAGAGAGCCCTAGAGGTATGTCTACACTAGCTCATTAATTCAAGCTAGGTAGGTAAATCAGGCAACCGAAGTTGCAAATGAACCCTGGGATTTAAATATCCCAGGCTTTATTTGCATGTTCCCGTCCGGCCACCATTTTTAAATCCCCTTAGTTCAAACGAACTGCCCACGGCTACACGCGGCAGTTTAAAATTAATCCAAACTAAATCCTTGGTTCGGATTAACTGTTACTCCTCGTGGAATGAGGGGTAACGTTCTGTCATTCATGCTTAAATTTGACACTTTACATATGGGTCTTAACAAAGATGCTAATTATTTCACCCATTACAAAGATAGCTTTCCCAATTATCACCCCTAATGTCATTACTTCACAGATACTAACCTTCCCCCCTCACCCCTCCTCTGTTCTTAAATCTGATTTGTCAATTTTATATGTGTTCACTTTTTTTTAATTGTATCACTTTGGTATATATGGCCGTGCCATTTTTCTTCCACATATTGATCTGAGGAAGTGGGTCTGGCCCACGAAAGCTCATCATCTAATAAACCATCTTGTTAGTCTTTAAAGTGCTGCATAGTCTTGTCTTTTGTTTCGGCTAGACCAGACTAACACGGTTCCATCTCTATCATTATAGGAGCCTGTTCCAGTATTTCTTGTGATTACATAGAAAGTGTACAATACTGAAAGTTAAGTTTATTTCGTTGATGAAAGGAGAACTGCTTCTGACCAATTTCTCACATGTATGTTTTGAAAATGTGCATGATTCATGAGTCACAGGAGGGATCCCCAAATCTCCTGCCAGAATGCATGCATTGTTTCTTTTAAACAATTTTATTTAAAAAATACTGTGAGTCATAACAAAACAAGCCCAGCCACCCACAAATCCAGAAAATCTCAAAGCTTCCTGCTTCCTTTCATCGAATGTGTCAGACACAGTGTGGCATGCTATGTAGGAACTTCAGATTTCCCCACAAATGTCAAGCACACATTTTCAGTATCCATAGATGAGCATAATTATTGTTAGTACCTTTTTTACTTTATTATACATCCTTTCATTAGTGCACTGTTCTGGTTGAGAAATCAAACACTCAGAAGTCAAGAGCAGCCACAGCCATTTCTCTGTGTTTACAACAGCTATAATAGGAGTCCGCGCACGCAGCACTCTTTCGACACGCTACAGAGGTAATCATCACTCCTGCAAGAGTGCACACTGGGAGTAAATCAGAATTGAACTACTGAGACAGAAGACAAATGTGACAGAGTTGTAGCAATTCTATAATAACTCATGGATAAGGCACATTGCCCTGCCTATTGGACTACATTGATTTAATTTTACAGGAATCTGTCTGGAAGAAAATATAGGAAGGAAAAGGATTGCTTAAGATAAACTTCCTCTCAGCAAACCCATAAGAGTTGTTAAGGGACAAGGAAAAAACTATTAGATGTGATGAGTGGCCTCTCCAGCTAACCCACAAAACAAGTTTTCGATACAACAGGAAAAAGACCCATGAACACAGAAGAACAAAGGAACCATGGCAAGACAAAAAGGCTACGTCTACACTGGCATGATTTTCCAAAAATGCTTTTAACAGAAAAGTTTTCCGTTAAAAGCATTTTCAGAAAAGCACGTCTAGATTGGCAGGATGCTTTTCCGCAAAAGCACTTTTTGCGGAAAAGCGTCCGTGCCAATCTAGACACGGTTTTCCGCAAAAAAGCCCAGATCGCCATTTTCGCGATCGGGGCTTTTTTGCGGAAAACAAATCTCTGCTGTCTACACTGGCCCTCTTATGCAAATGGTTTGCACAAGAGGGCTTTTGCCAGAATGGGAGCAGCACAGTATTTCCGCAAGAACACTGACGCTCTTACATGAGATCGTCAGTGTTCTTGCGGAAATTCAAGCGGCCAGTGTAGACAGCTGGCAAGTTTTTCCGCAAAATCAGATGATTTTGTGGAAAAACTTGCCAGTCTAGACACAGCCAAAGGGTTTCTCACTCAAGGCAGGGAATCAGTTGTTTGAGGGAACCAGACTGAGGACACCGCTTGGATGTATCTCAAGATCCTAGGCAGGCCTTTGTGTTTTGGTAAGAACGGCATGTGCATTGTTTTAAAATCCTTTTACTAGAAATGCTTTCGATCCAATAAACAGTATGTTGGTTTTCAGAAAACTGATTGCTGAATGCCCCTGGTTGCCAAATCCCGAAAGGAAGAGACACAGGGACTGAACTTCTCTGGACCTGCTGGATAAATATTTTTGATACTAGAGAGGCATCCAATCCATAGGGAGTTGGTTGCCCTAGTCCTCATGCTTCAGGAGGATGTGGGGCCTGGGTGGCTCAGGGGCTGGAAGCAGAGTGACTTGCAGCAGCACTTCCGGCCCCGCTCTGCCTTGCCGGCTCCCGGTGTTGCTCAGGAGTGGAGGGGGCAGAGGCTCGGGGAAAAGGGAAGAAAGGGGATGGAGTAGGGAGACACAGTGACAAGAAGAGGTGGGGTGGAGCAGTGGCTTATGGGGTGGAGTGGGTGTTTTCCTGGGCCCTACATTCCCCTAGGGCTGGTCCTGGTTGATAGCCAGTGCATTAGAGCCCAGGGCCTAACACCTGGTCTACTCTGCACAAGTAGGTTACCTTACTGGCCTAATTGTGTCTGTCTATCCTACAGATGTAAGTGCTCTGCTACACTGAAATAACAAAGCCACTTCCACAAGAGGCACAAGGGTGTTTGCTGGACCAGGGGAGGTCAATTTCAGCCCTTCCGTTGATGGACTCCAGGCTCCCCTCCTGACTGCTGGCTGGGCTCTGATACCAACCCCAGCTGCTAGCTCTCTGCATCCAGTCAGGCTCTGTGCCCCAGCCACCACAGGACTCATAACTGCTGGGCTCCCTGGTCCAGCAACATCCATACTCCTTCCAGACCACAGATGTTGCTGGATCAGAGAGTCTTGGACCAGAGAAGTTCAACCTGTAATTAGGGTGCAGGAGCCATGAAATTGGCAGGAAATCCAGGCAGCTAGAGCCCAGCTGCCCCACTACTCCCCTTAAGAGCTGGGAGCTGGGAGAAGAAGCCCAGGTGCACCCCCTTAACAAGGCAGCCCCAGGCCATTTCCCTTCCTGCTCCCAACAGGGAATAGAGAGCCCAGGGCAGAAAGCTGCCCACCGGGAGCCCAGGAGCTTATGGGGTGACCATGGTCTTGTTAGGATCTCAGCTCCATCCCTCTTAGGTCAAAGGAAGCATTCCTGATGAGAACATGCACCACCGACCCAAGAAGGGTAGTGTGGACATGCCCCACCACAGTCATTGCAGGGGCTAAAAGTCAACCTAATACAGGTTGATTTCTCTTTCTAGTGTAGACATACCCCAAGAGTGGGATAATTCTGAAACTCCACTTCAGAACAGGGAAAAGCACAAAGCACTGGTACATAAGGGGGTTCACCAGAGAGACGAAGAGAAGGAACAGAGGTGTAGCTAGTCCTGATGCTAACATTATGACAACAGGCTTTGAATTGTTTCTGTTTGTCTACCCAGATACTTAAAAGGCCTCCCACTGGTATCTGAGCACTCAATACTGCTAACGAGCTACCAAAGGAAGTAGGTTAGAAATCACAGACAGTGAGGGTTATAGAATAGAGGAACACGGGAACTACCATAAATTGGATCGGTTTTGAGATCCATTTAGACCCATATGCTGGTTTCAGCTATACCATATGCTTCAGAACAAGGTATAAGAATACTGTAACAAGTAGATTTGAGTTAAACTTGCCCATTCCCCACTATGGGCTCATATAGACTACATTCCTCTTTCAAAAGAGGAATGTAAATTACGCAAATCAAAAGTGCAAATGAAGCGCGGATTTAAATATCTCGTGCTTCATTTGCATATTCACGCCTGATTGCTGTTTTGAAAAAGGGTATTTCGAAAGTGAAACCACAGTCTAGACGCGGTCCTTTCGGGGGAAAAAAAAACCCTTTTTTGAAAGAACCAGTACTCATTTTTTCAGGAGTATGGCTTACACTCTGAAGGAAGATGTTTAATATCCCTTCCAAAATGTTTGCTGTTAATTATGGACTCTGGATCTTTTTACCTACATAATAGTCTAGTTTCTTTTTGAGTCTTCTAAGTTCTTGGCCTCGACTCCTGTGGCAATGAGTTCCACAGTCTGGTTACACATTCTATTATAAAGTATTGGGGTTTTAGTTTTGTACGCGAAATGTATCTAACCCAAGATGTATTCATTACCAGTGTCCATGTGCCACATTGTGAGAGACCCTTGCATGTCCAGCCGGCTCCCACCCAAGGAAGTATTTACCATTTGGAGGCAAGGTTAAGGCCACCAACTCTTTGATCTACACCATGAGGATCTGGCATAAGTGACACAATCCAGACATAGATATTTTAGATAGGATTTGGAAACTTTATCCATCAGTCAGGCTTTACCATGTGTGGCAACAGACTCATTTTGGCACAATACCTTGGCATGTGCACAACTTTAAGAATGTGGTTAGTCACATTGATTTCCAGCTTGCTCTGGATCTGTGCTACTTGTCGCTGTTCAAAGCAGCCTAACTTTAATAAGCATCAGTGACTCCAATAGGACATCCACATCAGCATGTGCTTAAATATTTTGCTGACTCGTGATTCATAAGCAAAATAGCATTCTACTGCTTTGCTGATCATCTAGTCTCTTTTACAAGATCCACAGCCTTTTAAACACCTGTGTTGCAAGTTTCTGCTTTAAATTCCAACAACTGCCAGAGGATCAAATAAATCCTTTGGATTTGTAATCCTCTGTCTAAAAAGGGCCCATACCACAAGTCCTCCTCAAGAACCATTTTTTTAGGCTGCCCAGTAACACAGACGTAAAGAAACACCTACCTGGAGCTACAGGTTACACATGCACCTGCTATCACATGCTTTCTTGTGTGAGTTTGCATCCCGAACACCATCAATCTTAATGGATCAGATAACCAGGGTATTTCAGTGCTTGTCCAGCTTTAAAAGCTGCCATATTGAAGCAACATAACCCAAAGAAGCCATTACAGAAATGAGCTGATAACTGAGATAGTGAAAAGGTACACCAGGAAAAAGTCAATCCAGCTGAATACGCATGAGGAGTTGTTGTTTTCAGAAGGAAAAATTGCTAATTAGCATGTATCTCATCCAAGCTTTGTATTATGCCTGGTTAGGATGGCACATGAATGCCAGCATGCATAGAATAAAGCTGCAGACCAAGAGAAGCGTCCAATCAGAATTCAGGAATAGCTGATTAGGAAATAAAGTGCTTTCTCAGCTATTAGCAAACAGCTGTGGAGGCCTCTTTAGGTCTGGATGAACTGCACACACACTTAACTCTTTCCACACTTCTCAATACAGTTTCAAATACAGCCCTAGGTTTCCTCCATAATAATATGAAAAAAAAACAAACAGAAGAAACAAGCACTTTGCGTTTGGCTTTGGAGAGGATAGCTGATATTGGTAATAACATTTTGTTCTTCCATAGCAACTTTCATTCAAGGATCTCAATAGGCTTTTACAACATAATGTATTAAGCTTCAAAGCCCCTATTGGGAGATACCATCTCAGTTGAACAGAAAAAGAAACTGAGACACAGTAAAGTCACAAATGTGTCATATATCTACTTGTGTTAGCCTGATAGGCACAAGAAGTAAGGGTTTAGGGGTTGCTGCAGCACCCCCCAGATTTTGCTCTCCCCACCAGAGCCCCAGCCATCACCCCATGTCTAGGGACCCCACTGCCACCAGGGGTCCTGACCACCAACTCCAGGGATTCCCAGCCCCATGTGCTTTGCTATTGGCCCTGGCGTCCCAGCTGCCAGAGACTTCCCTGCCACCCAGGATTCCAGTGGCTCTGCTACAGGCTCAGGGCCCCGATTGTCAATCCCAAACCTGGGGCTCCACAGCTGCCCCCAGCTCTGGCCCAAGCATGGGGCAGTGAGGGGCATAGACAGAGAAAGATAAGGGGGTGCCAGTAAGTACCCTGTCCCTAAAAAATATTCCAGCACCACTGGTTGGTCTTGTCTTTAGATTGTCAGTCAGCTTTCCACGTTTGTGCAGTGCCTAGCACACTGGGCCCCCCTCTTGGCCAAAGCTTTTAGGCTCCTCCTGAATAGAAATAAATAACATTCTTTATGGCAGGAGTTGGGAACCTTTTTTGGGTTGGTGGCCGTGGTCTCACATTAAAATCAGCCCGGGGCCACATGCAAGTGAGAAACAAACCAAAAAACCCTCATTGACATGGCCCCTTACCAAGAAGGAGACACTCCCCACATTCCCCTCACACACCAGACCCTGGGGGGACCCAGCCTACTAGTTTTTCTGTGCTCCAGCTCCACGATGGGACAGTGCAGGGGGGTGCTGAGCTTCTGGGGCTGGATCTAGGCAAGCTGGGGGCCGCATCTGGCCCCTGAGCCTGAGATTCCCCACCCCTGCTTTATGGCATACAATTGCACGAGCCAGTTACAACACCTTCAGTTAGCATTCTGCAGCTACAGCAAGCCTTTAATGTGGCCCATGGCCCACCCTACTGGGACCCTCAGCCAGTGGGAGCTAAGAGATTGTACTAGGGGCAGGGGACAGCGCACGAAGCAGAGACACACATGGAACAGTCAGCTGCTTTGAGCAGTTTGAGGCTACAGGCAAGCAGGGAGCCTACCTGAGGGTCCTACACACTGCTAGACAGGAGCCATATAAATAAGGGCCTCCCAGTCAGAGCCTGCCTCTGGCACCCCACCGCCTCTGGCACCCCAACTCCCTCCCAGACCCTGCACCCCCTCCTATACTCCTTCCCTCTTCTCTCCTCTCCTGCCCCCATAACCCTTCTCAGACCCTGCACCCCAATTCTCTGCCCCAGGTCTCAACCCACTCCTTCACCTAAACTCCCTCTCAGACCTCACACCCTCTTCTGCACCCCAGTCCTCTACTGGGAGCCCCCTTCTGCGCCGAACCTCCATTCCAGACTCGCCACTCCCTCCATAGAAAAGTGCAGCCTTTGACCGCTTCCCAAAATCTTGGCGTGCCCCCACATCAACAATTATTGCTCACCCCTGAACTACACCTTTCACTGGGCAAACTCACACTCTAAGACCGGACAAAATTATATGGGAAAATGCCATGTTCCCTAGCATATTTCCATAGAACAATGTTAGTGTACGTGATCACCATACACAGATTTTATAACTAATAAGAAGTGAAAAAGGAGATCAGACTTGGTGGGTCCAGAATTTGCATATTCCTCTATTACAATAGCACATAAAAATATTTGTAGAGAGGGGACTGTAATGTGTAACTTCAATAGCTGAATATTACAGACTGGGCTGGACTATCATAAAGGTTGCCTAACACTTCATATTGTAAGACCTTGTTTCCAGTTGTGTATAACTTTGCCATTCCAAGCTGCAACTGTTTGGGCTGAAATTTTCCATGCTGAGTGTGTCTGCCAAAGGCTGAATTTTATTTTATTTTTAGTTTTAGGTCAAAATGATTCAGTCACTACCAAGAATGAGATAGGATAAAGCACACATTGTTCAGACATTCTTAAAAATAAAAAAAACCTTGATATCTTTTCACAGGGCCAGGAGCAGCTGACAAACTTGGCTCTGCCCACTGGCTGCTGGCTCGTGACCCTGGCTAAAAGTCCAGAAGCACAGCAGGGTCCATGGCACTACAGAGCTCTTGGAAACAGCTGACACGTCTCTCCAGTTCCTGGCCAATAGGAGTTGTGGGGATAGCACTTGCAAGTGTGAGCAACACACAGAGACACACTGTCCCTCTCCCACCAAGGGTGCGCAGGGATGTGCCAGCAGCCAGCAGTTCACAGGAGTGGTGAGGGGCCATGGCAGGCAGGCAGCTTGCCTGAGCCCTACTGCACCCATAGGTGGGAGCCACACTCCCTCGCACACCTCAACCCCCTGCCTCAGGAAAGCACCCCCTCCGGCACCAAAGCCTGCACCCCTCACCCTCTCCTGCACCCCCAACACTTCGATCCAGTCCGCAGCTCTCTCATGCACCCAAATTCCCTCCCATAAAGAAACTAAAGTAAGAAGTAGGCTATTCTGAATTAACTGTATTTAACTATTTTCTACATGTTTTAAGAATGAAATGTAGCCACAGGACAGCTTTATGTTAATTAACAGGTACATTTAGTAGAGCATTAATAGCCTTGATGACATAACTGTGAACCATTTTGCTTTAAATTAGGAAACAGACTTGTATACAGGATCACATAGCCCCACAGAATCACATAGCCCCAATCCCACAAGAGAATTAATTCAGTCTGACCATCCCCACAACTCAGCTCCATCCTCTCAGCTTCTATAGGTGACCGGACTGTAGATATGCAGTCCCCACAGGACAACTGAGTGTGCTCCCGCCCAATGGGGCTGGGCTCGAGAGGACTTTTTCCTGTGAGGCTGAAATACAGCCAGAATCCAAGTCAAACGGAGAGCAAGGAGGCTGTCTCTCCTGGGATTTCAGTGGCACTCACGGAGCATGGAGAAAGAAGATGTCTGACTCAGACACAGTGAGAACAAAAGCAGGAAGGGGGGAGGGGAGGGAAAGACATAGATTAGGACAAGGAATCCGGTGAAAGGGAGCTTGGGGTGTAGGACCGGTTCTGAGAGGCCAAGGAGACAGACCAGCTGGGCAAGGAGACTGGGAGCCATGGGGAATCCTGAATTAGAGGCATTTCTTGGGATGCGACATGCAGCCGCATGCTGATACTCATGCAGATACAGATACTCTTGCCAGCCTAGATGAGATGAATGCTAATGGACTAGGACTGGGCAGGCAAGAAAAGTAGGATTGGGAGCCTGAGACTAGCTGGGCAGGGATTCTGTAAAGAGACTGAGAGCCCTGTGGGAAACCTCAGTGTCAGGAGCCAGAGAGGGAAGCAGGGTGGACTGGGGTTCATTTGGCTCATGGTGGGAACACTGGAACTGGATGAGGTGCTGGGTGGGGACTAATCCAGGCTGGTTGAACAAGAGAAGTGGGACTGTAAAGAAGTGGGAGGGGCAGAAGGGAGGAGAGATAGGTCTGGAGTACAAGGGGGAGAACTAGGATTGGCCTGGGAAGAGCCTGGGACAAGGCGCTAGGGAGGAGGTGGGGAGAATGAGACTGGATGAAGACTCAAGAAATTGAGACTGGGATTGAGACCAGGAGAAGGGGAGAGACAGGTCAGATACCGGTGGGGAGGGAGGGACTATAAGTGGCTGGTCAAAGGAGGCCCACGGACGGGAGGAGAAGAGATAGGCCCCTTGCCCAGGGGCATGGACAATTTAAAAGGGCCCAGGGCCCTAGAAACTCAGTGGGACTAAGGCAGGCTTCCTGCCCACCCTGGCAGTTGCCCCATGCCACTCCTGGAAGCGGCCAGCACCATCCCTGCAGCCCCTGGAGATGGAGGGGTCTCCGCACACTGCCCCTACCCAAGCACCAACTCCACAACTCCCATTGGCCAGCTACTGTAACTAATGGAAGTTGCAGGGGTGGTGCCTTAGGCAGCTGCATGCATAGCTCTGCCCCCCTCCCTCCTGCCTATGAGCCATTGCCAGAGAGTTGTGCAGGTCACTCTCAGGAGCTGCCCAAGGTAAGCACTGATCCACTGACATCCCCCTCCCTCTGTACCCTAACCACCTGCCCCAGCCCAGAGCCCACACCCTCCTTCACTCCCAGTGTCCACACTCCCTCCCGCACTCAAACTCCTTCCCCCTCCTGGAGAGAGTGAGTGAGGACTGGGAGAGCGAGTGACAGAGACGAAGGATGTCGGGACCTACAAATACATCCTCCCTTTCCTCTCCTGTGAGATAACAAGACACTGTTTTGCTGTGCTTGAGAGCTCAAACATTTTGCTGTTGAAAAGAAAGCATCCACAGAGTTATAGCCTCATTCGTTTCAGATGTTGGAAAGGGTACAGTGAAAGAGGCAGGTGTTAGTGTAACGCTGGCAGACCCCAGAAGACTGTGGGCGGAATCTAACCTGGGACTTCTGGAGCTCAGTT